TGGACCCTTAGGGGGAACCACAGCCCCCTGGCCCTGCCCTGCCCTCACCGTGGACTTCTGGTGGGTGAAGGCGGAGTGTGAGGGCTGATGCAAGGGGGGGGGGTGGGGGCGGCCTTTATCCACCAAGGAAACTTCCTCCCCTCCCTCCACCGCCTCCAGCCCCCGGATCCATCCCAGGACGAGGGGGCACAGCAGCTCTCACGTTCTGGCCGCATGCCTATTCTCCCCTCCCCCCTCTCCGCACCCAGGGCACCTGCGCAGGGAAGCTCCTGGAAACTCCGCGGGCGTGAAAGCCTCACCAAAGCCCTGGATGTCAACTTTGCCTGATTCTCTAATTTCATCTCTTACAAGCTTTCGGGATGCTAACATGATTAAGTTCTTCACACAATTTATTAGCATCGTGTTGGAAATCCAGTAGTATATTATACTGTCGGAGTAATCCAATTAGCAAAATGTATTTATTTAACGGGAATATTAGCCACACGCGATCCCACACCGAGGCCGTCCCAGCCTTCCCGGTTCTCCTTGCGCTTCGCTTCCGGAGGGAGACTCGCGACACAAACTTGTGGGGTGAGTCACGCAGAGTTAGATTTTGTTGGGGGGCGGGGGTGGAAGGGAGGGAAACCGTAAGGCACCGGGTTCAAACTCCAACCTTGCCACTTGCTTCGAGCTCTGTGATCCCTGGGAGGTTTCTTGACCTTGTCTGCACCGGGCTTCGCCGGTATCGGTGACTTGGGGACCAGAAAGCTCCTCCCCCCCCCCCCCCCCCCCCCCCCAGCTGGCGATGTGGGTTCGGCGAGGCCGCCCAGCAAAGCCTGGAGGGTGCTGGGCACACGGCAGACACGTGCCCCTCAAGGGTGGGGCCCACCCCAAACACCCTGATCCCGGAGGCACTGCCTTGTACCATCACGGAACCATTATGGTCATGGTGACCAGCGTCAGGAGAAGGTGCCCACAGGGCGCCCAATGAAGGTGGGTGTGGTGGGTGCTGGGGAGGAAGGCGTTGTGATCGGGTGTTTGCCTTGAGGCCAACAAACTCATCTGCACTCCCCGCCCTCTGCCCCACTGCACCACACCGGTGCCCGGTGCCTGTGCTTCTGTCCCTGATTCTACTCACCGTGGCAGCCAGCTCCGTGAGGCAGGCATCCTCTGCGTCCCTCGGGGTCATCACCGTCAAGGCTCTACGACCTGAGCTACCCCGATCTTCTCCCCAACAGACAGTGGGGGCCCCAGCGACACCCTCATCCTCCGCTGCCTTCCTCTCTTTGGGGAGCACGGGAGCCGGTGCAGCTCAGGGGGAGGAGCGCGGTGAGCCCCGGGCGCTGCCTCGCCTGGCGTGCTGGCCTCCTGCCAGGGAGGACAACAGAAGGACGACGGCGAGACCCCCTCTGGCAGCAGCTGGCCATCCCGGCTTCAGCCTGGGTCTGTCCGGATCCCCCCGTACCAGCGAGGATCAGCCCCTGAGTGTGGCACAGATTTGGTTCTCGGCGGCCCCGAGACACCCAGCAACGCCCCAGCTGCCCACTCGGGGCTTCCCCTTCTTCCCTCCCCAAGACGGCG